CCCTGCACCGTCTGTAGGCACCATGCTGGCTCAGGAGGAGGAAAACCTGGCAAGGAAAAGCAAACAGGCAATGGCATCTCTCTTACAAAGCAAGAAAGATGGTTAATGAAAATTCAAAGCAGATCTGAAGATCTGTGGCTCATCAGTAACATCTTCAGACAGATACCAGGGTGGCAAGGTGCACGTGATGCCACGGCAGCACAGGTCTGGCTGTGCTGGTACGTGTTTCAGCCTCTTGCTGCCGCAGCCAGCCTAGGCAAAAATCAAATCCCCGTGGCTGTGATTAATGTAGTGATGCTGACATAAGCTGAATGGACTTACGCCGTGAGTTATGTAAAATGGGACTCATAAGATTGTTTGGCAGAGAGCTAAATCATTGTCTGAGATAATAAATATTACAGATAGGAGAAATATCAGATCTAATGGGCTTGACCTTTGTCTCTCCGGCAGGTCTCCGGGGGAGGTGGCCTTTGCCCGCCGGAGGGGTTTCCCTCAGGCCTTGCAGCACGCGGGCGACGCTTGAGGGCATCAACAAGCCCGTCATAGACCGTATCATCCGGGTGGACCATGCGGGGGAGTACGGGGCAAACCGCATTTATGCGGGGCAAATGGCCGTCTTGGGTAGATCAAGTGTGGGACCGATTATCCAGGTTAGCGGACCTAAACCAGATCGCTGTGTTTAATTTGCATTTGATTAATTAACAAGGGTCAAATGAAGTTGAAAGGTGATAGCTGCATATCTTTTTCTAAACAGGTTTAAACATAGGGGTTTATAAACAGTGGTGGGCCTACTTGATAAGGGAGTTAACAATGCTATAATTAGTATTGTCACAAAAGCTTATTTTGCAAATGTTTTTATGTTTATTTATAACTGTCCTCATCAGCCCTTCATTTCTTTGCAATGTGAATAGTGTTAGCTCTGCAGTTACAGTGTGAGGGGCCTGAGCTGTTTTGGTTTATTAGTTATATTTGAATTGTTTACTGTTTCTGTTCTTATACTTACTGTGATGTGGCTCTTTTGCAGCAAATGTGGAATCAAGAAAAAGACCACCTGAAAAAGTTTAATGAACTAATGGTTGCATACAGAGTTCGACCTACTGTTCTATTGCCTTTTTGGAATGTAGCAGGTTTTGTTTTAGGTGAGTTTGTATTATTACTATTGTTGTTTTATGAAGTCTTCAAATTTATAAATTATTTGTATTGCTTCAGATTTCATTGTTTGCATATGTTTGGTACCACAATCACAGGGGCTGGAAGTGCCTTACTTGGAAAGAAAGGTGCAATGGCTTGCACAGTGGCAATAGAGGAGAGTATATCAGATCACTACAATAGCCAGATCCGAACTCTAATGGAAGAAGACCCAGAAAAGTACAAAGAACTATTGCAGGTATTTAACGATAACTTAAAAAGTAATTAAACAAATTCATTGAGTTATCTAATGTGACTTTAGTCTTTCAAAATAATATGCTCTTAGAATTTACAGTAGATCTCTCTTTGTTCTATCACTTAACATGCTGAAGTCAACAGAAACTTAAAGTTAACTGCAGTTAGCAGAAACTTCAAGTCCCAGATGAAAAATTAGAAGAGAAAAATAGCGTTCTTTAGAGTATGCTAAAATGGACAAAAGCCTTGAAGTTTACAGGAAAACACCCTTACTGATTATCTGTCAAGTCAGGGACCTTAATTTCATTTAAATTGTTAGAATAATTTGTATGTGTGAAACTAATTAGCATTATGACTATAGATGTTGTTGAAACAGTGAAAAACGTAGTGATATATTAAAACAGCAGCTGAGTATATTAAAAGAAATGTAGGTTTGGGGAATGCTGTAAATGATTCCCTTCTTGAATTGAAGATTCAGGTCTTTGAGAAGCTTTTAAGAGATGTGGACCTCAGAAGTCTGTCCTGGTGCATGCAGTGGTCGATAGCATGTAGTTTTGTATACTAGCTGCCTTGATTTCTCTACCAAGTAGACTTACTAATTAACTGCTATTTTTAAAGATCATAAAGCAATTTCGGGATGATGAACGGGAGCACCATGACATTGGGCTTGAGCACGATGCAGAAACAGTAAGTACAGTGTTAACTCACCCTTAGCGAGGATGTAGGTGGGATATTCTGACCTTCCTTGTTGTCGTGGTTTAAACCCAACCCAGACAGCAGCCAAACACCACACAGCTGCTCAGTCACCCTCCCCTGGGGATGGGGGAGTAAGAATTGCAGGGGTAAAGATAGGGAGACTCACAGGTTGAGATAAAAACAGTTTAATAATTGGAATAAAATAAAACAATTATAACAATAATAGAAAGTACAGATGGGCAATGCACAATGTGATTGCTCACCACCCACCAACTGATACTCAGCCTGATCTTGGAGAAGCCAAGATCCTGAAACCACAATCCCGGAAGCAAGAGGGAAGCCCCTCCTGTCCGGCCAACCCTCCTCTCAGTACAGAGCATGATGGTACGTGATATGGAATATTTCATCAGCCAGTGTGGGTCTGGTGCTCTGGCCATGCTCCCTCCCAGCTTCTTGTACACCTGCACACTGGCAGAACATGGGAAGTTGGATTGTCCTTGAATTTTTAGCAACAACGGAAAACAGCAGTGGATTATCAACATTCTTCGCATACCAAATCCCATGCTGAATCCAAAACTCAGCACTATTCTAACTACTAAGGAAAATTAGCTCTACCCCTATTGAAACCAGGACACTTACCCAGTGACTGTGGTGTAGTTCTTTATTTGAGAAACAGAAAATAAAGCACTTGATATTCTTTCCTGAAGATAGATTGATTTTTATATATATATATATATATAAAAGAAAACACTGCATATTATAGCTTTCATTTTTCTAGAACAGAATTGAATCTGTTGGAACTCATGTCAAGTATTAAAGTGACTGTGTTTTCCTGAGAGGTGTCCTCTGCACAGTTTTTAATTTTAGATTAAATATTTCTGAAGATAAGGCTGATAAGTGCTATCCATGCAACTGGAACTTGGACATTGTCTTGGTAAACAAATGCAACCATGTTAGGATGTGTGACTCCTCTCCTTTTTTTTTTTCTTCTCTTGACTTACATTTGTGGAGAAATTGAAACATTCTGCAAAGTTGATTGGTTTTAATTTAGTTTTCTCTAGGGTAGATTAGACTATAAGTACAAGTGGGTTTTGGTGGTGTTTTTTGCTTTGTTCTGTTTTTTGTGATAAGGAATTGTAAGCGTTATCTAAAAAAACAGTGTGGTTCAAAGAAAACACTTCATTAGATGTATTGTGTCTTTTATTCTTTCTTTTGCAGGCACCAGCATATTCAGTTTTGAAGACAGCTATACAACTTGGATGCAAAGCTGCAATATTTTTATCAGAAAGAATTTAGTGATACTCTCCATAATGTTTGTGGCAATAAGCTGTGATGCAAAAGGGTATGGAAACTGCAGAAGACTAATATTTTATTCAGACTTTTAAAATTTTCTTCACTAAGCATCTGATTCAGCCAACCTTTGTCACAATGAGTACCTGTTCAAAAAGTATCTATATTTAAGTCAATTGAGCTAAATGTGGATAAAGACTGCTCTCTACGAACTAAACCTTATTCAGAGACTGTTCACAAGGTGGCAGCAAAATATGTATGTATATACACGACATATATCCAATTGTGTGTGTATGTATACACACATATAAAAGTGCTAAATACATTTTCTGTTGCTTTCAAATCTATGTACTTGGAATAAGCTGGAGCTCATCAGCTCATTTTAAAATGTTTAATACTGACTAAGGATATTTTCGAGTTCTATTTTCAGGGTAAGTAAATGAAGTACTAGTAAGTGGGTTTTTTTAGCCTGTCTTGAATAAAGATTGGTATCAGACTGTAATTTGAAGATTTGTTTGTGTGGTTTTGGTTTTTCTTCAGGCCCAATTCTGAATTCTTTAACTAAATTTTTTTTCCTTTGGGTTTTTTGTTGCTGTGTGGTTTGGTTTTTAGGTTTTTTTGTTGAGTTTGTTGTTTGTCCTGAGTGTGTAAGGAATTGACCCCTGATATGAAGCAGATGGAGAGAGCAACTTGGAGCACCTGTAGAGTTGCACTTAATACTCTGTTAGAGCTTTCAAGTTTATCTATCTTTGCTTCTAGTCTTCAGTGGCTCTGGAACACAGATGCTCTTGCCTTCTCCATGTTTAAACAATTTCCTCACACTTTCTGCTGACATCCTGGCATGGAGCAATAAAAATATAAAAGACAAAATTGTGCATGTCTGTTCTGTTAAACACTGATCGAAGATCCTAAAAGTACAGCAACGGAATTAGTGTGTCTTAAGGTGGTAGGAGTGAAAGGGACTTTGTACAAGATTGCATCTTTTGCTCTTTATGTCTTATGGAATGATCAGGAAATTTTTTCTTGTTGCATCATTATAGAAATGGGATAACTTTCTGAATGTGTGAGGATGATATAGAACATGCAGATATCTTGATACATTTAAAGTCCCTACAAGAGACTTATATTTTTATAGCTGAGAAGCATAATCTTTTGATTAGATGTAGAAAGGCGAGGAAACCCTATGAATAGTATTGTGAGTCACATAAAGAGCATATATTCATGCTTTTCCCCTTATATCCAGGCTTCTAAAACTTGTTTAGCTGCCATAAACATAAAAGTTACTTCCCAATTTTACAGGTTTTCCAGTTTCTACAGGTTTGTGGTTTTTGTTTTGCTTGATTGTTTTTTCTTAATAATAGCTAAGCTTGACAGATCAGAGAGCAGAATTTCTCACATCTTGCTTTCTGTTTAAAAGAAATTTATGACATATTAAATCTATGATGTATTAGAAGTCAGTATTCCTTAGCCCGAGCAATGGGGTATAACTAATTGAACAGATGGGATATAACGGGTATAAACCTAGTTGAAAAGGAAAGAATTGGAAAACAAGAAATAAAACAGTAGCAAGTGCGGCCCACTGCTGTCATGAGGAATGAGGCCAATATTGCCATCTTGATTTTTACCTTATATGGAAAAACAACACAGTTATATTGAGGCCAGTTAAGTATTTTGATTAAGTTTTGCTGTGTGCTGGTTCTGGTTCTGTTGTGCTGGCCAAAGGCTATGTACTGACTTTGTATCTGCTTTGAGACCAGAGGAGGATAAGGAGTGGAGTTGCTGCCAGGAATCTGAGTGAGACCTGTAGGAGCATCTAAGATCTGAGCATCTGGGAGCTTGGTAAGGCTTCAGACCACTTTTAATCCACGTACATCTGAGCACCTTTTTGAGTAGCTTGGTTAGTGTTTGTAGGTACTGACTGATGTGTAACGATGTGGAAGTCTTAAAGAGGATTATTTTCTTGTATTTTGTGAAAGAGATTAGACTAAAAGCTAAATCTTAATACAGAAACTCCTGTTCTGTACAATTTATTATGACTGACACTTTGTACATTATAATAATTTATATCACGCTGTTGCAAGTCTGGCCTGGTGATACTCAAGCTGCTGATGTTATTTACATTGTCCAAACAAAGTAGTGTTTGGTCCTCTATAACTGGTTTGCACACCCACTGGAATAACTTGACTAGAGGACCTCAGAGCTAAATCACAGATTTCTCTGGGACTGTAGTAGGAAGACAGCTCTAAGAAATTCTCCTTTTATATGCCTCAGCCCTGGACAGTTGTGAGCAGTGTGCATGTAAATGTGAGTTTACTAAAGGTATGTCATATTACACTAACATGGTATCTTCCCTAAATTGACCAATGCTCTGAACAAAACCTATGTCTAGCAGATTGCTTGCCTGAATTTCCCTAAAGTATTTCATATGCTGGCATGTGGAAAAACCCTAGCTAATTTGAAGAAAAGAATAATTGGCACAAAAGAATGGTTAATTGAAGTGGCTAAAAGGGTAACAAGTGGTGTTGAAAGAACATGCTGTGCAGTTGTATAAGTCATGGACTTTAACTGAGTAAAAAGAATAAAAAAGATTGTTGATGAATAGTCCATTGTAAAGTCTTTAATAACAGAGGCAGCATCTTTTATAAGTCCATTATTAGAGCTGGGGAGGGAGGGGCACAGCATGCTTTGACTCAAAGCTGGAAGTTGCACACCCATGTGTACAATGGCCTTGTGGTATAAACTGGAAACTGGGCCAGGCAGTTTCCTGGTCCTTGAGCCACTGCATGAGGATTGAACACTGGACAAGGCATCTGTGGGGTGTTCCTAGACAGACGGTGCTTGGCTGAAGGCTGGGGCTCCACAGAGCAGTTGGGGACAAAGATTCTCAAGATACCTGTGGCGGTGTTCAACAGTTGTGGGGTTTGCTGCTGACACAGAGAAACGTTCTTGTGATCCTCTGTCCAAGATGGGGGTGGCCTCTGAGACCATCGCACACTGCTCACTTGAGGCAACATTTAAGAGACAAAACTAGTTTTTAATGCGTTTAATTTGGCCAAAGGCTAGGAACATCAAATACCAGGAAATCACTGTGTAAGGTCAGTGTGTTTGGCCATATCTTCAGTATCACAGCAAGTTCTTTGTCCTCAGCAGCTGAAAACATCCTGTGCTTTCAAGCAGGCTGTCAGGCAGTAATACTGTCTCTAGCTGCGAGCATAAAACGTGATTCCAGAGAACAACTCTGCTTTATGCTCCTGATCTGGATTTGTTCCTTCTTTTTACTGGAGCAGCTTTTTTGTGCCTGTCCGTGAAAGTGTGGGTGAGCTGTTCTCATGCCGATTTCAACGTCCACACATTTTCCTGCAAACTGGCAGTAAGTCTTTTTTGTTGTTTTACATAGGAAATGGGAGTTGCTTTTCATTTTTCTCATGCAAAAGGGGCTTTTTTTTTTGGTTTAAAAACCTGTTTCAGATTTTGAAAGAGTACAAAAGGTGGTAGAAGGTTACAAAAGGACTAGAGATGCTCAAGTGCTGTACAGGACTTCTATTGTACAGCTGCTGCAAGGCTGTAGTTTCTTTTTTATGTTATTTTTGAGGCAGAACTAAAGCTGGCTAATGTCAGCCATCCTGGCAGGGGTTAATGGCAGGCGGAGGCCAAAGTATAGAGCTTATACAAGTCTGACATCATAGTGATTCTTGATGAACTCTGGTCATGTTGACAGAGGAAAAGGAGCTTGGATCAGAGAGGGAGGCTGTGAAATGCTGCATTTTTAAATCAGTGGTGAGTGGGGAAGGTGACAGGGTCTTCACTGTGTCTTTGGGGTTCCCTTCTGAGCCATAAATTAAGCAGGTAATTTGGGTGTTGTAATATGCAGTGGGATGAAATCCTTCCCCTCAAAGTAATGAGGGCTGCTTCTAGCTCCTGTGATAACTAAGGACTAGATCTTGATTTTTTTTTTCCTCCAGGAGAGTTTTATTTTTCAGTGTGGAGAAGCAGGGGGTGTCGTTTCTGTGTGTGTAGAGCTACAGGGATGTTCCTTGATCAGCATCTCACCTCTTACTGTTTTCTCCTGCACTGAGCACTGGGGATGATCTGGCCCCTATTCTCCAAAGCTGCTCTGAGTCAGAGATTAAGGTAATAACAGTGCTTGGACGTGAGTGACATGGCTAGATGGTGTGCTCCTTGTGCTGAACAATTGGGCTCTTTCTGATGCTCTGACAGCTCTGAAGCAGGATCCCTGCACCGTCTGTAGGCACCATGCTGGCTCAGGAGGAGGAAAACCTGGCAAGGAAAAGCAAACAGGCAATGGCATCTCTCTTACAAAGCAAGAAAGATGGTTAATGAAAATTCAAAGCAGATCTGAAGATCTGTGGCTCATCAGTAACATCTTCAGACAGATACCAGGGTGGCAAGGTGCACGTGATGCCACGGCAGCACAGGTCTGGCTGTGCTGGTACGTGTTTCAGCCTCTTGCTGCCGCAGCCAGCCTAGGCAAAAATCAAATCCCCGTGGCTGTGATTAATGTAGTGATGCTGACATAAGCTGAATGGACTTACGCCGTGAGTTATGTAAAATGGGACTCATAAGATTGTTTGGCAGAGAGCTAAATCATTGTCTGAGATAATAAATATTACAGATAGGAGAAATATCAGATCTAATGGGCTTGACCTTTGTCTGGAGTAAATCTGTGTGGCTCACTTGAGCATAATAGAGAGAGGCTTGCTAGAGCCTGACTGAGGGTATGCCATACAATTCCCGTGCTGGGGATGATGTGGGTTGTACATCTCTATTTTTTCGTTAAAGTTTCAGGGGTTATTTAATCTATACAGTCTATTGTGTCTGCCTCGTTTCTTGACTTTAGGGAAGATAACATTTCAAAGGGTGTGCCAGTTGGTTTTTTGTCACTAGCTTCAAAGTTGTGGGATGCATTGAATTCTGCACAGGTTTTCAGTTTGAGGAGCTTAAAGGAATAAGTTAGAAATATTGGCCAGTTTAAAGGAGGAATGTGTGTGATAAGGGAGTAGATTGTGTAAAGGTACCATTTTTCTATTTGTTAATTCAGTTTTTCCAGAGTGGCTGAGATGAAAAATCGGAACAGATTTAGGAGAATGGCAGCAGCTTTGCAGTTGTACTCCCGGAGTGGCAGAACTTAACTTGTGTTGAAGAAAGCTTGCTGACACTCCTGTTTAGAGTTGGGAGGCTGATCTAATGTTGGGTAAGTGAACTTAACAGTTAATTGGAACAGGTTCAGTGGGTAACATCTCTAAAACACTGTGTTAGAAGGAATATTCCACTTGTTGTTAGGTGCTTTCAATAAATGCAGCCTCCACTCCAGCTGTTTTTGAGAAGTACCACCTTATGCTACAGTTTTACGTAGCAGAACCCAAACCTAAACCATAACGGGGGATGGTACTTCTGTGTCTGGTAATACAACTTAGGGCAGCAGCATCATTTCCTTGTGTTAAGATGCAGAATAATATCAGCACGGGTGTATTAAAAAAGACTAATTTTGGTGCTAAATATCTTTGTTTCACAAATCAAGGCCATGGCATTGCCTTTACTTGTGCTTGTTCTAAACTGGAAGTAAATGATGATCTGATGGAAGCTCAGGAATCACAGAGTTTCTTAGAAGGGAGCTCTGGGTGTCATCTTGTCCAGCCTCCCACTGGAGGCAGGACTGTGGCCAGCACTAAAGCAGGTCAGACATGATTCTGTCTAGCCAGGTGATGAAAACCTCCAAGGACAGAAATGCCACGGTCTCTATAGGCAGCCCATTCCAGTGCTGCATTACTCTACCAGTGATGCTTTTTTTTTTTTTTTTCCCCAGATATCCATCCCGAACCTTTCAAGACTGTGGCTGCTGCTGCTTGTTATGTCATGAGGCACCATGGTGAAGTTTGGCTCCACCGTCTTGGTAAATACTCTTTAGGTAGTTTTAGGCAACTATTAAATCACTCAATTCTTACCTTCCCAGTGTCCATATCCTCTACCGAGCCCTATGCAAGAGAGCAGCCTGGGAGGCAGTGAGTAAGGCAGTGTGAAACTGGGCACGGATTGGGGTGCACATCTCTCCTCCTCTGTATGGCTGCGTTGTTCCTGCTGTGTTTTCACTGCAGTCATGGCTTTCACAGCAAAAGGTTCCTGCTGGAGGGACTGTGTCCCCCAGAAGGAGGGTGCTGAGCTGCAGCTCTCCTTGCAACGCCTGGTTCCAGACTGGACACACAGGAAAGTAAGAGATGCATCTAGTGACCACCTTGACAGTCTCATTATTTGTTTTAGACTCCAGGCTTTGTATGAATGCTTGAAGCTGTAGTCTTTCCCTGCAGGTATTTTCTACCCAAGTCCTTGCATGTCAGTGATTTGTGTTTTAGTGTTACCTGTGCCTAGGACAGATGGATTGTTTGGTTTGATGGTGCAGATGGATATGTGTAGACCAACGTATTAATGAAAGCATGTCATACACACACAGTGGGTGTTTTTCCTATTTAAAATATCTTTTCTGGACTGCAGAATAAAAACATTATTTCTGGCAGTAGAAGTGCTTTTCTGTTGTCTTTGCAGCCACTGACCAGCCACCTGCCAGGGACTGTTTGGGTCAGAGCAGAGGCAGCAGCAGGTGAAGGGGATTTTTTTTTTGTGTGGTGCATTTTGAAGGCAAGCTCTGCTAGCTGCATTGTATGTAGCAAGCTGTCATGAATTTCTCCCCGTTTGTTGTTTGAGGGCAGCTGTGTAGTCAGAGGCTGCTAACTGTGTATGCAAATGGTAAGACATTTAGTGAAGTGAAAAGCATTTGCTTAAAGGAGCAGACAGACATACAATGCCAAGGCAGATGACTCAATCATGTTGATCTTTGTTGCTATCTCTGGATTAAAGTGAATTTCCTCTTTAAACAGTAGCCTATATCTAATTTAAAACTGTCTCTCATCTTACTGATAGATTGTTTCCTCCCTCCTCTGGGGGCAGAGACATGCTCCAGAGATGGCACCCAGCTTCTGAAGAACTCGCTTTTCTAGGACTAGGGCCCAAATGTCAAAACATGTCGGGTCTCTGCTCTCCAGACGTGTCATCCCAAATCTCCCCATGCCAACTGCTGCGGGTCTGAGGCAGGCTAAGCAGACTCCCGCTCTCCTCTCAGA